AATGCAGGCAGAATTTATTGACATGTTAATCATGGGGAAATATTTGAAAGTACAGGTCACATGAGCATATTTCTGCATAGAAACATAGCTTTTAAGTGGTCTCTTTATTGTATGTTTCTTAAATTTCATATAAAAATAATGAAGCCACAACCTCACCATGAATCATGTATGGCAGCTAAATTATACAGCATAAATGCTATCTTTATTATTTGTTTTTATTGCATATATTTTAAAATACCCTTTACCAGAGATTTACCTTTTCATTCACCAGAATGTGATTTAAATGATGATTCATCAAGACAAATATTTTTCATTTAATTTTATTAAATTTCCCTTGCTCTGTCATCTATAAACATTTCCTGCATGCTGCCTCTCAATTAAGGAGCTGAAGCCTTGCCGAGTCATCTCAACATGGTCACAAAGTTACCACAGAATTTTCAAGGCTTTCCACTTGTAAATTTTCATCTTCCATGATTTTTAGAGATTGATAAAGACACTTTTTCATCCATGAAAACATACTGGAGAAATATATTAAGCAAAGATGATGCAAGCTTTAGAAATAGATAGATAGATAGATAGATAGATAGATAGATAGATAGATAGATAGATATGTAGGTAGGTAGAGCATACATATTAGAGAGATGAAAGGAGGGGGGATAGATAGGAGCTGGTCCTCTCCCATGCCTGGAATGTCAGAATGCCCAGCAGAGCCAAATCCCATTGCTGACTGGGGACACAGCTTCCTGTAATGATCAAACAGTCTGATAAAACAAGAATCTGTCACAGCTGGATGTTTGCTTTACATCTTTGAAACATCTGCATTTGGAGCTTTTTTATTCAGCCAATCATCAATTCAGGATACATTTATGAAGTGCATGTTCTTTGCCAGACACTACACTCTGCACTGGGGAGTCCACAGATGGATTCCCTTTTTCTCAGAAGATTCCTAATCCTAGATGCATTCAGGGAGGCAGAGGAAATAGCAGACACATGAACTATGAGCCTTTATGGAGGAGATAAGGTACCCATTCTAAGAGTGGCCTGTCAGCTGGGCTCTCTAGGATATCTTTGAAGTTTGCCAATGAGCAAGGAACTATAGGCATAGTAAACAACATGACCAAGAGAGGAATGATTGTCTATTGCAACTAGCACAGGGTAGAGTCTCAAAGAATGTACCAGAAAGATTGACATAGTCTAGTGTGTGAGGCCTTGTGTTCACCAAAGGCACTGCTAGACACAGTAGCAGGGTGTACCATGAGTAACAGTAAATTCTCTAGAGCAGTGGTTCTCAACTTTCCTAAAACCAAGGCTCTTGGTTTTGTGGTGACCCCAACCATAAAATTATTTTTGTTTCTACTTCATAACTGTAATTTTGCTACTGTTATGAATCATAATGTAAATATCTGTTTTCTGATGGTTTTAGGTGACCCCTGTGAAAAGATTGTTTGACACCCCCAAGGGGTCACAACCCACAGGTTGAGAACCACTGCTCCGGTAGTTATTGAACTGTATCTAATAAGAACTAAAATGATTCCCTTTATTATAAAAAAAACTCCACAAAACCACCTAGAGTCCCAAAGAAGGCAAGGGACTAGGTCAGCAGTGAAGATCCGAAGGGCTGTGTGCTTGTCTAACAGATGCAAGGCACTAGGGGGAAAAAAGCTATAAGTTGGAGACCACATATTTTTGTCTTACAGCCAAAAGACTCCAGAAAAGCTTTTAGAAGGAACTGTTTGACTCCATGACAATTAGCAAGTGTTCTGCAGGCCACCACATATGGTCTGGCTGTCCATTGCCTAGGACCTGTGTTCAGATATAGGCTGTCAACTCAGGAATAGAAAAAACTTAGGCAGAACATGTTTCTAGGGGCTTCAAAATATAATTAAAGTATTTTAGGGTGCTGGTCCCCAAACACAGATCATGGACTAACTCTTGCAAATTAAGGATAGTCAGAGGGTGGAAGTTAAGAATTGTATTACAAAGCAACCCTCCATGGAGAACATCAGAATCCTGGGACTCTTGGCCTTAAGGAGAGGTTGGGGCTACTCCCCTCAGTTCTGCAAACAGAGAGGAAGTGCTGCCATCACTGGAAGACAGGCTGAGCTCAGGCCTATTCCGTGTAGCTGTGTCCGCTGCTCAGGATGACTTGTTGACCGTCAAACTGAGTGAAAACGAACCAACTCCAGCCTCTGTGTGGCTTCAATTGTATAGCTTCATCTCTCTGGGCCTTCACTTTCTTTATCTGTCACATGAGAATAAGATTTACTTAATAGGGTGTTTACCAAGGTGGTTCATTCCAACTATAATTTTGAAAAAATGCACACATACACCACATACACACACACACATTATGGGACTCAATAGCATTATTTTCATTTGAATTTTTAAATTTTCAATATAAAATAAAAAATTGTTCACCATTGTGCTGGACCATTTGAAAGGTTCCATGTTTAAAACCCTTCTAGGCAAAGTCTATAGCCCTTCTAATATTACACAATGACTTTGTGGCCTCAAACCATTCACAGTGCAAACAAACCATACATGGGCCAACAGCTTTGGCTCTGCCACACAATAGGATTAACTAGCAGAGAATGACCTATGAAGTCATGTTTTTTGGTTTTTGGATTTTTTTAAAAAAAGGTACTAGGAGCTAGTACATACATCCAGAATTTCACATATAATAGTCTAAAATTGGACTTGGGATTAGCGCTGTTTAAAAGCTCAGGCTCAGACATTTATTGGGATCTTGCTCTGGACTCCCCTCCATTTCTCAGTCCTTGTGATCTCCATTGAAAGAAGTATGAATAGAGTAGAGTAGGATAAAATAGGTAATGCTTACTACAGAACAGTATAAAGTGGCCTGGGATAAGAGGGATACAATGGCTAGAGGGACCACTGCAGAGAAAAAACACTCTGACAGTGTCAGAGTGAACAATGGCCATAGACCATTCTATCAACCTACAGTTTTAGGCCGGAGTCCAGTGATATGGCTCAACCAATAAGGCACTTACTGCATAAGCCCTGTGGCCTGAGTTTGATTCCAAGAAGCCTCTTAAAGATGCAAGGAAAGAACTGATTTATACAGTTGCCCTCTGAACTTCCACATATGAACCAAAGTATGCATACCTACATGTGCACACACACACACACACACACACACACACACACACACACACACCACCAGTAAATTAAAAAATACTTTTTTTTAAGTTACTAAAATGGACAGATTTCATGAAGGTTGTTTTACTGCCTAGTAATTGACAAGCCCATTGGACTGTCTTGATTCTCTTTCTTTTTCCTTTTTTTATTATTATATGTATATGGATGTTTTGCCTGCATATTTGTCTATGCACCACCTGTGTGCAATGCCCAAAGAGGCCAAAAGAGAATGTCAGATACCCTGGGACTGGAATTACAGATAGTTGTGAGCTGCCATGTAGGCACTGGGAATCAAACCCCAGGTCTTCTGGAAGATCAGCCAGTGTTCAAAACTCCTAGGACACCTCTCCAGTCCTTGGTTTGATTCTTACAAGAGAAATCAGCAGTCTAGACTTGTTCCTTACCTCTCACTAGATAATAATCTTATTAGGCTTGGGGTCCCTGGAACCAGGTTTAGATAGTCATCCATTAATGGCTTTCCTGGCAGGACTCAGGTCCCTTTTCTCTGAGTCTTACAATTCTTGTCCTTGGTTAATTGGGGTGGGAGTGGGGGTCACAATTCAGCCATAATATCTTACTGGCTACCTATCAAGACCACTGCCAAGGAGGATAGAGCCATTCAATCAATGCAAACTCATAGCTTTTGAACCTAGACTTAATGTCTCAACAAACCCAAGGAAAGCAAGTGAAAGACTAGAGACTGTTTCTAAGAAACCAGAAAGGTCCCTGAAATGTTTGGGCTGCACTGCACCAAGCTAGTTAAGCCATGGTTTGATATATATTCATAGGGTTATATCTGGCTGGAGTAACAGAAATCTCAAAATAACAATGGCTTCAAAAAGTAGAATGGTATTTCACATAAGGAGAAGCAGTCAGGCCTTCTCAGTCGAGAATAAAGCCTATTCTGTCTTTTTACATATCACATGGAAGCCACAGTTTTCATACACCATGCCCATTTCTGCCAGCAAGGAATGGGGAGGGGATGTTGATATCTCTTGAGATGAGGTCTTTGAAATTGTACACGTCCATCTGCTTATGGCCCATTGGTCATCATTTAGTCCAGTGGCTGTGTCTGCCTTCAAAGGAGTTTGCCAAATATAGCCCATACAGAAAAACCATGTACCATGCTAAAAAACTAAGGGCCCTTAAAAGGGAAGGGACAAATACTTGGAAAAAGCCAACCATCTCTGACCCAGGAGGCCCTGTTCCTGCCTCAAGCAGCCAGATTATAACTATTAAGTTCCATGTAAACAAAGTGTTTTACTGCGGTCCCTCTGAAAACCACTGACATGAGGCTGTTTTTCTTGCATACCAGATTTCAGTGCCTCTGGCTCCTGGTGCCCTTAGATATCACCAGTCCAAAGGAGTTCTTCAGAAACTCCTCCCCTGAATTTCACATTGCCCAGAGTGGTTGAGTGAGTGCTCCCACATGGGGGGGGGACGGTAGTCCTCCCTACAAATTAATTTTGGGGGGTTGGTTCTGATGGCAGGAGGTTGTTCTTGCTCGTTCTGGAAGCCGCTCAGGTTATTTTCATTGGATCATAAATATGTTGTACACTTTATGATACTAACCTCTTAAACCAGTTCTCTTGAGTGGCTACAAATCACAGTTCAGGGGCAAATTTCTAAGATTCCAGGGCTCCTGAATTCCTGGATGCTCAAGTTAAATACCTAAGATTATGAGTGTGGAGTTATAAAAACTTTACAACAAAACTCACTGCAAAGACTTTGTCCTGACTCTTGTCTTGTCTAGTATATGTATGTAAGTATATTCTTTACTCAACCAAGAATATGGTAGTGATCAAAATCCTTGCCTGTGTTGACCCTTTTTGCTTCCCCAGTGTTCTAGGACCTGTGGTGGAGGAGTTCAGAAACGTGATGTTCTCTGCAAACAGCGTATGGCTGATGGCAGCTTCCTAGAGCTTCCGGAGACCTTTTGTTCAGCCTCCAAACCAACCTCCCAACAAGTGTGCAAGAAAGATGACTGCCCCAGTGAGTGGCTTCTTTCTGACTGGTCAGAGGTAGGTCTGCTCCTCAGGAGAAGAGAATGCAAGTCATGGGAGGGGAGAGAAGTCACCCCAAATACATGCATAGAAAGAGACCAAAAAGCTCTTCTAACAGTGTGGAATGGCATTTGCAAGCATTTCTACTATAGGATGCGAAATGATCAGACTTTGGGGATCTAGTTTATTATGGGGACCTGGGCTACGCAGCCAGCCCTCACCTAACAATTGAAAATCGAAAACTTGCAATTATAAAATATGCCCCCTGAACAAACCCAGGACACAGGATTCCTCACTTCTTTTTTCCACCTAGCCCCATCCTCCTGACACTCCCACTCCCGTGTCCTCCTCCCAGATGTTTCCAGTCTCTGCTCAGGAAGGGCAAGACCTCCTTAGTTCTTCTCTTCCAAGTTACAATAAAGGATGTGATTTATTACAAAAAGGAGGCCAAGGAAATCCTGCCTCTTTACTGTTAGTTTCCTGACTCTAAAACTTGAACAACTTCCCAGCAAGAGAACTTGATTTCCCCATTGCCTGCCCTTGGGAAAGTGATGGTTCAGTGTTCACAGCTCCAGATGGTGCCTGGAGTTAGGGATCCCAAACTTACACCTCCAACCAACCTGCTTCTCTAAATAATCCCTGTTCTGATCATGGTATGAATTCATTTACACCTGGTTTCAAAGACTCAGCTCAACTTTTCAGCCCCTAGAATTTCTTTGAGTTGCCTTTAACTACCCAGCTCCCAGCTCCAAAGACCTGTATGCCTTCCATGGAGAAGTCTTAAAATCATTGCTGTACAAGCAAATTCAGCCACTGGCAGCAAGATCACTGCATCCAAACCACATTCAAGACCTTTCCTTTTTCTTGAATAGAAGCTTTCAGATTGGCTTTCCTGACCCATGGGCTTTTTAGTGCTTAATATGCAATTCTCGGTTTGGAGCTGCTGATGGTTGAAATGTGTGTCACAGAGAGGCTTACTTCCAGAAGGAAAAGGCAAGCTGTGGAAATTAAGACTCCTGACCTCTCAGCATGGAATTCCTACATTATCAGCCTATTTAGAGTCCCTCTGATAGTGCCTGCTAAGAGCACTGAAGTTGTAAAGGAATCTAAATTTTCATTATAATTTACCAGTACAATTGCCTATGGCAGTGTCTCATCCCAGATGTTTCAGAACAGAAAGGACAATGGTTGTTTTTGTGTGTTAGAAACAATTTGTATTTCAGCAGGATACAAGAATGGAATGGTAGAGAAAGAATGTGTGTATATTTAAACATATGTATACACAGACATGTTGGTTGGTGGTTTTGTGGCAGTATATATGAAAAAAATCATAATAAGAAAACCTACACAGAAAAGAGTCCTTTTGTATGTCCCAGATGGCTGTGGTAAAGACATTCTCCTGGTAAAGCATCTATCAGGTGATGGGCTCATGGATGGACTATGGAGGGAGAATTGTAGATGTATAATTGTCACCCCCTCCATCCTCCTGAAGTTTGTGGCCTTTGGAGGATGTAAGATACAGAAAAGTCATAAAAGGAGATATTCTGCATGCAGATTTGAAAGAAGGACACTTGTAGTTTAAGCACCAAAGGAAGGAGCCCACTGAACTGGACCACATTAAGCAAGTAGACCTTTAGAACAGGATCTTGTAAATTGAGAGTTTAGACACACACAGAAGCAAACCTGGCTCCAAACCCTCAGTCTCATACCAACAGCATAACATGGGGCTCATTGCTTAATGTTTCTAACACTTAGTTTGATTGTCTGCAACAAATAGAGATATCAGTGTCCATCATGAAGGCAGAGTCTTGATTAAATGAGACATGAAGCTCCTGTGTCTGGTTAAGCTCAACCCTTGTCATGATGGTGGCTCTCTACCTTCTGGGCTTGCTTTCAGGAGAGAAGAGAAATTAGGTAAACACTGCACCACCTTGAGTGGATGGGCCCAGGGTGATAGTCTAGGTCTTTCTCGGGCTTTGCTGGACTCCCTGGGAAGAAAAGGTCTTATTAGGAAACGAGGAAGGGTTAGCCCTTATCTAAAGTTCTGAGCTATCAAGATGATGAATGGAAATTGCAGACACTAAGGAGAGACTGGGAATGGTGAGATGCAATCTCCCAATCATAGGAGTCCCTTGGGGCTTTCTGGCTTCCAGCCTAGCTTCAGGGGAATTAGGTGGAGAGTGACAAAATAGGACACTGTACGTCATCTTCTGGCTTCTACTTGTTCGGTGGATATGAGTGTGCACACACACATTTTTAAACTAAAACAAAAATGATAGCTGTGTTGTTGAAGTAGGGGTGGGGTGACAGAACTCCAGTGGTAGGTGTCCCCATCATCTGAGAAGCTGCCCCTGCATCACCTCCTCACCATGGTTACCAGACATGGCTCAACTTCAGCTTAGCTTCCCTACTTCAAAGATGTGGAACTTGGTGATAGAGGTGGTATTAGACTCCTAAAGTCTCAGCTGCCTTGGCCTACAGTCTGACTAGCTGTCTGTTTTTCTACTTGATCAAACTAAAATGTCCATGTTTTAAAGCTATCAGGCTCTTTGCCCCATCCCACCTGACCCTTGCATCTGGTACTGTCATGTATAGGATCTGGATTCCATAGTCATCAGGCAACACAAGCAGGGGTTTGATCTCAACAGGCACTGGTCTTGAATTTCTTCTGGGGTGACAGATGTCACAGTCTGTCCCACAGATCAGTGTCATTTCAACATACTCCAATATAAAACTTCAAAGCATAAGATAGTTTTCTGTTGTTTTTACTGTCATTTTTCCAGTGGCATGCTGCCATGACCCAGGTTCAGGCCTTCATCATCTCAAGGCAGGCTGTGGTGGCCCCTCTATTATGTCCTGTCTCCCCTCCCCTCTCCTCTGCAGAGTGTTGCCAGATTCACCTTCTCAAACACCTCTTTCATCATGTCATGTCCCAGTTCATGGCTTCCTTGCTCTGTGGACCAATTCCAAATCTGTCTGAAAATTAAAGGTCTCCAAAGTCAGACCCAGCATACTTCTCACACTCCTGATCACACTCAGCTCAACCCCTGGGCAGTAAAACTGGCTTGGTTTTGCCCCAAGACTTCATTGGACTGTGCGCTGAATTCTTCTACTTTGTTCTAGGAATCTCTGCTTGCCATGCTTATGTTTGGTGGGCTTCTCCCACCAGATTCTCCCCATCTTCAAGGCATAGGTCAGGAAGTCCCTTATATGTTATCAGCTTTGAGTAACCACCAGTGGTAATTTTATAGTGTCTCAGAAGCTGCCTTCTACTGTTACACTCTGACTGAATTCCTTAACTACTGTTGCTTCTATAAACAACTTTATTGACATATAATTGACCTACTATAAAATTCAATTTAGTATATTGTTCTTAAGGTTTGTCTATGGTATAGCACAAATAAGGACCATGTTTCCTTATATGATCAGATAATATTTCATTAATATAACTAGTTTATACTTTGTTTATCCATTCAACAGTTAGTAGGCAGTGAGCTGTTTCTACTTCTTAGTTGCTAGACGTAGTCCAATGTTGTTAAATAATGTCAGTGCAGTTGTGAACATTTGAACATAAGTCTTTGTATGGGTGTATACGTTTTCTCTGAGGTAGATTTGTACGAGTCTAATTACTGGGTCATGTTTCCTTTTTATCGAAACTAATAAACTCTTTTTTTCTGGAAGAGGATGCTAGGGATCATATCATTTTACATGTCCACCATTTTTCCACACCCTCACCAATACTTACTATTGTTTTTCTTTCTGATATGGTCATTCCAGTGTTTGTGCATTTCCATAAATTCTCACTTCCTTTTAGAAGTGCATTTGACGACTTTTGCCTCCTCACTTGAGTGACTGCCTCTGGAAGCTAGACACTTCACCCCCAAACAAAGTAGATTCAAGAGACACGTCACTTATTGGGTTAGCATTGTCTTTTCTTGTAATCTCTCACTGAACTCGGAGACTTGGAAAATAGAAACAATGCACAGAGCTTCAAGCTTTCCAACTACTGAAATACATGGCTGAGATTTGAACATGGGACTCTGTATTTCTGTGACTCTAAAGCCTAAGCCATATGTAACTAAGAAAAGGTAAAATGCTCCTGGAACCCTTAGAATACAGGGCGTTGGCAGGCAGAGTGTGGCTGCAAGGCCGATATTCTACATTACTGTAACTACTTGTCTTTTAGTGACTTGATTCTTTTTCCCAGCATATCATAGTGAATTAAAGGGATCATGCAGAACAACGATGAGACTCTAGTTCTTGGGACTTCCATACATGTATCCTTTCTTCCTCCACCAGTGCTCTGTGAGTTGTGGGGAGGGCACCCAGACTCGAAGTGCCATTTGCCGGAGGGTGCTGAAAACCGGGATCTCCGCTGTTGTCAATTCCACCCTGTGCCCTCCCCTGCCCTTCTCTTCCTCCATCAGACCCTGCATGCTGGCAACCTGTGCAAGTGAGTATGTCAGAGCTGTGGGTGTAGGGGTATGGAACCTCATATAACAGCAGCCACAGCCACCAGGCAAGGACCTTTCCTGAGCCCCAGAGTAGTGAGGCATTGTGGGGCAGCAGAGCCTAAAGACTGCTGTGGCTGGAGTGCCCAGCTAAAGATGGAAAGGGAATCTCAATCACTCAAGTGTCCAGCCTGAGTTTACTTCTCCCCTGGAAAAACAGCTTGCAATGGTACAGCAAAGGTCCCCTGCTGGCATACTGAGATCTGGAAACTGGAGGCTGCTCGTTCCTAATGAAGTCTAATGTTAGCCAGTGTGGGCTTTTAAACTGCTCTAAACACACTTGTTCTGTATAATATTAATCCCTGGGGTTGTAACACTTCTGGGGTCCTCTCTCCATGTACATTAGGGCCCTGGTACTTTGCATGGCCCAGAAGGTAGACACATAACAGAGCAATGTGCTCCTCTTTGTCAGCTGCCTCTCTTTATGAAGATTTCTTCTTTAAATGCTTTTAATGAGAACTGCCTTTCCCCTGGGCTTCCAGGCACCTCTACTTCTTTAGTTCCTGTGGGGCTGCCCCATACCACACCTCATTAGCGCTCTAGGGTTTGAAGGTGGGATAGCCTGATGATCCACAGATGGTAGCCAACTCCACTCAGGTAAACAGAAGGGTGGTAAATGACAGCTCTGGCTAAAATCAGCACAAGAGTTCGCCCCTTTGTCCCTTGCCCTCTCTCATGGTCCTATCTCACTCTGGTTTTTCCCTGCTCTTGGTTCTTTGTCTTTCGGTGTGGCATCCCTCTTAAACCAGGGCCTGGAAGGCCTTCCACGAAGCACAGCCCTCATATCGCAGCTGCACGAAATATATACATCCAGACCCGCAGGCAGAGGAAGCTGCACTTCGTCGTGGGAGGATTCGCTTATCTGCTTCCCAAGACTACTGTGGTGCTCCGTTGTCCCACACGCAGATTCCGCAAGCCCCTCATCACCTGGGAGAAGGATGGCCAGCACAGCATCAGCTCCGCTCATGTCACTGTGGCTCCTTTCGGCTACCTGAAGATCCATCGCCTCAAGCCCTCAGATGCAGGCATCTACACCTGTTCTGCAGGGCCTGCTCAGGAGCAGTTTGTAATTAAGCTCATTGGAGGCAACCGTAAGCTAGCAGCCAAACCCCTGAGCCTTTGGAGTGAGGAGGAGGAGGCCCTGCAAGTGAAGAAGGCCAATCCAAAGGACGCCTTGCAAACCCACAAACACCAAAATGGCATCTTCTCCAATGGCAGCAAGGCTGAAAAGCGCGGCCTCACTGCAGACCCTGGGAATCGCTATGATGACATTGTGTCCAGGCTGCTGGAGCAGGGTGGTTGGCCAGGAGAGCTCCTGACCTCGTGGGAGGCGCAGGACTCGGCAGAAAGAAACGCATCCTCCGAGGAGGATCCCAGTGCTGAACAGGCCCTCTTGCATCTCCCCTTCACCATGGTGGCTGAGCAGAAGCGCTTGGATGACATCCTCAGGAACCTGTCCCAGCAGCCTGAGGAACTACGAGACCTCTACAGCAAGCACCTGGTGGCCCAGCTGGCCCAGGACATCTTCCGCAGCCACTTGGAGAATCAAGACATGCTTCACAAGCCCTCTGAGCAGAGGTTTTCTCCCGTGGCCATCCCACCTCGTAAACATGTCTCTAGCTTCAGCAGCTCCCTAAGGAGCTCATCTGGGGAGATTGGGGGAGGCTCCCGCAGGCCCCACCGCAAGCCTACCATCTTGCGAAAGATCTCAGCAGCACAGCAGCTCTCAGCCTCCGAGGTGGTCACCCACCTGGGGCAGACTGTGGCTCTAGCCAGCGGGACACTGAGTGTGCTTCTGCACTGTGAAGCGGTAGGCAACCCAAGGCCTACCATCCACTGGACCAGGAACGGAGAAGCGGTTCAGTTCAGTGACAGGTGAGCCTCATAGAACCCTGATCTAAGAAGGGTTGGAAAGAGGAAGTGAGGGAGGGGCAGGAATCCTCCCCTAGCTTTCAGACATGTTTCTGGTAGATAGCATTGGAGAAAAAAAGCATTTAATGTCCGCAACACTTACTACCATCCTTATAACTAATTGGCACTTCTTCCACAACCTACCCCCATAGGAGCCCAAAGATGAACAAGGGTGCCCTCTGAATAGCTTTGAATGTTGGGTAGAAGGACGCCATTTAAGCCACAACATTATTGTGTTTCTGCCTCATGGGCTGAGCTATTGAAAAGCTTGGACATGAGGATCATCTCTACATTTGTGTAGCCTCTCTGGGCCTGGAGAGAGGGCAGCAAGCCAGCTCCCGCTACTCCCTAGGCAATCCTATTCTCTGACTGGGCTAAACTAGGCTATTTGTTCTAGAAAGTTTTTACCCTCACATAGACCTGTGATTGTGTATCCTAATGTCTCATGGTGCCTCTGTTTTCGGTGTGTTATTGTTGGGATGACAGCATGTATTATTATCTGGCTCCTTGGACCGGAGCCATTCATAAAACTAAAATCAACAATGGTAGTAAAAATAACAACAGTCACGTTTTTAGCACTACCTATGTATCAAGAACGGTACCACATTTTCAGAGTGTTCTCTTCAATTTTATAATGGCTCTAGTGTAGTGTGTACTGACAATTTGTCAGGCAATCTCCAAGGTCACTGTAACCTCTCTCACTCATTTATAAATGACCACAGAAGCTCAAAATCCAAATGCTGACAAGGCTAGGGGAAAGCCTTGAGCATGGTGACTTCAGTATTGCCTGCACAAGTCATTTCTGAGTGCTCCACAAATCGGGGTTCAGTGGTCACACGAGTTTGAAAAGTGTTCTGTTAAAGCTAAACAGATGTGTTTACTGCTGCATTTTATGTCTGTTTTTTAATATAGCACTTGATTTTTATTATCAAAGTAATAAAATGGCTATAAAGCAATTCAGATGATATCCAAATCTATAAAGTAAAACGTGGAGCTTTCCCTCATCTCCAGTCTCACTCCCTAGAGACTACCACTGGTAATGACTTGAGATGCATCCTTTTAGAGTTTTGTGTATTTTACAGTGTTCTATAAAGCTATCTACACACTTAGGATTTGGGTTTTTAATGGGATGCTAGTCATGCTCAGACCCTTTGACTGGGTTTTCATTTCACATGTTTATAATAGTTGTAGAGATCTGTGCCATGTCGCCTTTTTAACAGCTGATTACTGTTCCTAAATGCACTTAACTATTCCCCAACTAGAAATTATTTGGGGGTTTTCACTTTTTTAACTCTTTTAAGCATCCCAATGTGTGTTCTCACTTTCCAATAGGACAGTGTCGTATGCGGTGGTTTCAAAATACTCTTTTGATCACACACACACACACACACACAGAGAGAGAGAGAGAGAGAGAACACACACACACACACACACAGAGAGAGAGAGAGAGAGAGAGAGAGAGAGAGAGAGAGAGAGAGAGAAAGGCCTAGTGTCTTCAGAAACACCAGCAATTCCTGAACTAGCAATTCCTGGGAAACCCTACCTGTTAATTCACCTTACTGGGTGTTGAAGGTCTAACTCCAGTAGCTTTAAGATGGAAACTATTTTGTGGAATTTTATTAGAAGAAGCAACGTGGTGACCAGGTGCTCAGGATACTAAATCTGGAGCTAAGCTAGAAGAGAGCAAGACTTGACTGTCAGTCACCCAGGACAGTGATTGAGAGACACAGTAGCGTTGAGAGGAATGTACCAGATAAACAGGGTAGTTTTTTTTTTAAATTTTACTTATTTATTAGATGTATCAGTGTTTGCCTGCATGTTTATATGTACACTTCATGCAGTATTTGCCACCATGAAGATTTTCTTCCATAGACTTAGCCTTGAAAATGCTTTGCAATGGAAATTAATTGTATGCAATTGAGAAAAAAAACCTGAGGCTCTGTTTCTGATGTTTGACATTATAATGTTTGCAATTTACTCTGTTGGCCACTAACAAATATGGCTTTAACTTGGTTTTCTATTGGGTTTTCCAAATTCTTGTTGAGAAAAGAGCATTTGTGAGTCATGAGACTGCCATGGGGACCACTTTGCTGTGGAATGTTGGTGACCCCTTCAATGTTGGGTGTCATTGCTTGTCTTCATCACTTTATTGTCATGGTTCAGAAATGTTCATTCACGTTCAGACAGAGATGTGCTGAAATGTCCAGTGCTAGAGCTAGTTCAGTTAGTCTGTTTTTGCTTAGTGCCCAAATCCACCTTCCTAGGAGTCTGCAAGATCCAGCTGCCTGTAGGACTTTCCAATTTATTAACATGTATAATAAATATCCTAGACTATCAAGAATAGGTCAAGGCAGAATGAAAGCCAAAACTTGACATGGGAGAAATTAGCTTTACCAAAGAATGAATAAAAATTCAGATACTGTTGACCCTTGTTACATGTAAAATTTACTCTGTGAAATAAATTCACATTATTCTTAGAAGGACATGTCAGCTTCTCAGGGAGTAGCTTCCAAGGTGTCCTTAGTATATTGGGACAGCCTGGTTCACTGCACTCCATATCTCCCTCTTCATTTATTCTATCAGCTCTACCACAGCAGATCCTGCGTTAGATATTGAGAATGACAGAAAGGAAGACTCATTTCCTATTGATGAACTCAGTCTGGTTAGGAAGTCAAAGGTATTGGTCATGAGAACAGAATGAAATAGGAGTACATATTTCTTGCAGCTGATTTGCATTTAGAGTTCTGTTTCAATAACATGTATCAGAGGGAGCGTTCCTGGTCATGCCATCTGAAACAGGACCCCTCCTCCCCAGTTGTTCTGTAGCGCTTTAATTCTGGTACTGGACTTACAGGATTTTAGGATTGTTTTATGCATCACATTAATTCACTTGTTAACTGTCTCTCCATGGTGGCACAACCTTTCTTTACTGCTCTAATTCTAGTGCTGAGATGGCAGCTGACACTAGAGAGATAGCAAATAGTAGGGAGAAAGGGCCAGGGAGAAGAGAGAAGGAAAGGAAAGTATACACAGAAAATTAAACATGAAATGAGGTAGTAAGTGTTCAGGTACAAAATTAAATATGTGATAAGAAAAGGCTTTGGTGACCACTCTGGGCATACACTCTAAGGTGATGTCTGTAAGCCAAAATCCAAATGATGACCAGTTCTCATCAAGACAAAGAGACCTTCTGGACAAAAGGAAAGTTATGAAAATCTCTAAGGGGAAACTAGTCAGTTTGTGTTATAGAACCCCAAAAGAAACTCATTTGGCCGCATGAGGGATGGAATGGGGCTATAGAGCTAAGGGGAGTCCTGGGAAGCTTTGGTTTCTACTTATCAAGAGAACATTTAGGGAAATAGTAGGCAAGAAAGTAAGTGACACAGTCTAATTCCTGATTTGACAGATTCACATATACTCTTTTGTAGCATGGGAATTACAGCAAAGTAGGAGTGGCTTGTCACCACTTGAGGATAAGCTCCAAATACCGTTGCACAATACACTGCACTTCTTATCGGTACCATCTGCCCATCCCTCTGGCCTCATCCCTCACTAGTTCCCAGCTCATGGCACTGAAATTTGCCTGTGAGCAAAATCCAGTTGCTTGCAGCTTATGAATTTGCATGGGGCCTTCCTACCACTGTGTCTGGCTAATGCTTCTTCCTCAGAAGAAGCCTTACACCAAAGGCAGGGTCAGATGGCCCCATGCAGGCCCCACTTCTGAAGTCTTTCTGACCCCCCCCACCATTGTGCATCAGAATTTTCTATTTTTCTAGCTTACCTTCTGAAAGATAGATGTTTTGAAAGTGTGCCTTAGTTTCTCCAGATTTCTAAGAACACGTTATACACAGAAAGGTGAAATGAATGAACAGTGGAATCTCTAGTGGATGCCAGTGTGTAGACAGGAGGTTCCTAGGGCTGGAGAGATGGTTCAGCCGTTAAAGGCTAGGCTCACAACCAAAAATATAGGAGGTTCCTAATTGCTGGGAGGCCATGGTCTTTATGAATTTTGTTCAGGATAGGCAGAGTTGGAGAGTGACACCTATGCCTAAACCAGTGGCTCTCTTCTTCAATACGGTTCCTCACACCATTGACCCCAACCATAAAATTATTTCATTGGTACTTCATAACTGTAAATTTGCTACTGTTATGAATCCTAATGCATATATCTGATATGCAGAAGATCTGATATGTGACCCCTTTGGGGGTCTCAATCCAGAGGTTGAGAACCATTATCCTAAACAAAAGTATGCCACATTGCTCTCATGTTCTTTCCCCGAGACGTTTCAGAAAGCAGAGAGTCCTAAGATTCTGTGGCACAGGGAGTATGACTTGAAAGCATTCATATAATCAAATAAAAATGGGGAACAGATACCTTCTGACCTCCTACCTTCCATCACATCCAGACCCACAGAGAAACTGTCATACTCATTATCATCACGGCTAATATTTAGAGCTCTTGCATTGAGTTTCAGGCACTCATTTATCCTCACAATAACCCTTTAACATCACTAGCCTAACTTCACAGACGTTGAAATTGTAGTAGAGAGATGTCACACGAACTTGCTCAAAACCCCACAATATGGGAGGGACAGAGTTGGAGTTTGAAGCCATAGCAGTCTGATTTTTTTTGGGGGGGGAGGTGTTTAAATATATAAGCTTGCTATTGTTTTTAAGGAAGCCATCACAGTTAACTAAACTTGATGCAAATTAGCACTCAGAATTCTAGCCAGCTGGCTTCAATTTATAAGAATTTTGTATTTCACCTGTATCCATCCATATGTCTTAGGGGTAGCTTTACCTTCACCTACATGGAGCCAGCTACTAATATGCACAATGTTATCACACACTAGACACTCTGTAAGCATTACAATTGTTACATCTATATGCCTCCTTTGGATGTCTACAGAGCTATGTGCATGCATTCAGAGACCAAGATCAGAAGCAAGAAGAAGATAAATTGT